TTGATGCTTCTTAGAGACATCACATTGGGGTACATGGACCTCTGATTTGACACAGTGAAATACTATGTGCTTTCATAGAGGCACCCTGAGCTTTCACTGCTATAAAAATATATAGCTCTTAACTTTTTGAAAGGAAATTGTATACTGGTATTTTAGACTTCTGGAAGCACTGCAGTAGTTATTTTACTAGCAAATACACATGTATAAATTAATACTTTAAATATGAGATTGCTAAATCATAATTATTTACATAAGATGAATTAGTTGCATTTTTAAGCTCTGACACATAGACACTGAATAAATAAACCTTTTGAGGCTCACTGAAATATTAAATATTAAACTCAGATTTATTACAAAGCTTCTTTAAAAGCTGGAGAGTTGAGTTTTTTCTCTCTTGATAATTGTAAAGTTAGTATAGATGAAGGCAAGAGGACACAGAAAGACCTTTGTTGATTTCAGGCAATTGTTAAATCCTGGAAGACCTAATTTCTTCAACCTATGAATTGGGGAAGCATTTACCCTCACCATTACCTTCATCCTCACTCTCCCCAAGGAAAAACTAGCATCTTGGTTTACATGTATCATAAGCACTCCCTATATTGTAATGTGTTCCTTTTGTTTCTTTGTTGAATTCTACTGGTGGTACTGTAGCAAGGATGGGAAGAGGCAATAATAAGAATGAAACTAAGAATCCTTAGAAGCCACATCACAGTCCAATTTCACCAACATTTTTATATCCATCCGTTCATTCAGTAATCAATAGAACAATATAAAAGAAAAGTTGAGTTTTGAGTTTTAATTCCTTTCTCTTTTCTTAATCTATTCTTAATGAAAATGATGTACTAATTAGTGGCCCAAAGGGAGGAAAGTAGAGAAACAGGAACAGAACATCACCAGATCACCAAAAAAAAAAAATCATTTGGGTATTATAGTGACTATAATATGAGGCATTCTAAGATATTTTCCAAGAATGCATTTTAAAGAGCAAAACAAAATTTTTCCTCATCTCACATCAAAAATGAAAAGGCTGAAAACAGAAGGGTTAAAAAAATATGAGAATCATAGAAACTATTTCTGTTAACTTTACTTGCCCAAGAGCTATTATATTAAAATTTAACAAGAACCATATATTTTATAGTGATGACTCAAGTAAGGCAAAAATCTACACAAATAAATTCACCATGAATATAGAAAAATAATCAATATAAAATCACATTTGTTTGTTTCAAATGATCTAGTAACATATTCGATTTTAGGGTTAGATAAAGCATAGGAAAAAGATGAATTTTAGTTTTTCATGTACCCATTTTATGGTTAACATTAGTCTTAGGAATAAAGGCCAACAACACTATCTTCTGGATATGATTAGCATATTCTGGATATGGTTAGCAATACAGAGTAAAGTTAAAAATTACATGTAAGGAATGTCATTTTTTTCTGTGAAGCACATTATATCCCTTTCCACATGACTTCAAGTTCAACACAGCTTCATGAACTAAGAAAATACTGTCCCTATGGTCTGACCTTAAGCACGTACACATAATGCTACTTCTAAGAAGACATTTTTACCTTACTTAGATTGCATGGGTTTATAAATTCTTTTTTTCCCAATCTACCAGTCACATCTGCAGTCCTCGTGTTTCTTTCCAAATGAGGAATTAAGGCCAAGCAAGACAAAGAATTTGCTGATACACATATGTCACTCCAAGAATTTCCCTGACAAAGTCTCCACACCCAATTTAATTATTTCCCTACTGTAAAAACACTTTCCATCTGCATTTATTATAATCTTTTCAAATCCAAAACCAACACACCATAAAGCTGGCTAAATAAATGAATGATATTAGCTTCAGTTCAAGTGAGGCAGCATTTTATAAGGCAGTGGTTCTCCAGTTCCCATGCATTTTATGCTGATACAGTATTTACAGAATTTCATTTAGAGCTCAGTTCTTTACTTTAGATTTGTTTAGAATGGAAATTCCTAGCTCCAGGCCTTAAATCTCATTCTGAATCCATTCCCTCCCCCTAACCCCTCTCTCTTGTTCATTCTCTCTTACACACACACACACACACACACACACACACACACACAGAGAGAGAGAGAGAGAGAGAGAGAGAGAGAGAGAGAGAGAGAGAGAGAGAGAGCGAGAGGAAAGTACATGAAAGTGGGGGATGGAAGGGAGTAAGATGAAAGGGGGATGAAGACCAGCAAGGGAGAAATAAAGAGAATGTAAGAACATCTGTGGTTTTTAAGGAGGAAAAAAGAATGTACCCATAAATATACATGCTAAAGGAATATTGCTTAGTGACCATAAGAAAAGCATTTGGTGGTGATTGGGTATGGGTGTGCTAGAGAATCTGAACCTTAGTACAGGTGCATAACAAATACTAATTATCGCATTCATTGATTCATTGACTCTTCAGTAAGTTATTGTATTCTTTTGGGCTGAATGTTCTCTAGTGTATTTTTTTCTCTTCTTGGTGTTCCATCATTGTATTTACTAACTGTCCTGGTAGTATCCATCCTAGTATCCAAGAGTAACCACACCTTTCTGTTACTCATGCTACTAGAGTTTGAAGACTGTTCCTTGCACCAGAAGCTAGAAAAGGAGACCAGCTACTATCAAAAGATCAGGGCAACAATTGAACCAATAAATGAATCTAGTCAGCCTGGAGGTATTTCCATCTCAGAAATTATTAAACGAGATTGCTTTGTTTGCTTTTTATATCACGAAGCTTTAGAGTCCTTAAGTAATTGATTTGCCTAATTTTACCTGTTTATATTACAGAGTAGGAAACTTTTAGAAGCAGCTAATCCCAAGCAACCAACTACTGATTTTCAAGAAGTCCAACGTGTGTGTGTGTTTATCATATGATTCTTAAAGATGTTAAAATAACCACTGTTTACCTTAAAAATTAAACTATAATTTAAGACAATATGGGCTGGGATATGCTAAATAAAAGAGAATGATCTAATTCTAGGTTTAAAAACACTGAGCTCTGAACTCATTTATTCTTCTCTAACTTATGAATTGTGGTCACTGAATCAGTACGTGTCTTACAACTTGTTTAAAATTTATTTAAGCATAACTGTCTGATAAAAAATACAGTGGCTTCATGGTGAAAACTGTTAATATAAAATAGTAATTATAAGGATAATTATATATTATCCTGTTTTTTTTCCTACTAACCCTCAAAACCAACTGCTTACAAAAACTTATTGATTACTTAAATAACAAGACATAGGTAAGTCATAGAGATCAGCAAAAATGATAAGAAAGGAAATATCCATAAGGAAGAAAGCTTGGGCATTTCCTTGTCTTCATGCATCTTAGAATTATCTGCTTTGTAAGAAAAATTTCATGGTTTATCCATTTCCTAATGCCTCAGTAAGCTAAAACTATCTGATTCTATTTTGATAATTATAAAGACAAAGATCAAATGTCAAAATTCCTCTTTTATATTATATACACTTGATGATCAAAAAGAAAAGACCATGCATAATCATTTTAATATAACATGTATGATTTAATTATAGGGCTATCAAGCTATATAAAACAAAGGCAAAGTTATTCAAACTGAAATGGACCGTATATAATACATGCTTGCTCTCCAAAAGGAAAATATGGTGGTCATTAACATTTTACCTACATCTGTATTGTTTTATTGTACCAAGAAAATTATTACATGTATCATATACTGGAGCAAGTAGGTCAAATAAGCTATGACCCACCTCATCATTAAACCCAAATTTCTTAGTATGAGAGATTAAGTTATACATTAATATATAGAGAGTATACTTATTGTTATTATATATAATAACAATTATATACTATATTCTATATAATAGAAGCCCTAGAAGCTTTCTATATAATTTTTTTAAAAAGATTTATTCATTTATGCAGACAAGAACTGGGGTATAGACTAGAGGTGCGGGGGGTGAGAGGATTCACCAGAGATAGAGTGGTGAACAGAACAGGCAGATCTACTGAAATACACTGCTGAGGGGAGCAGCGGGCAAGTCAGGAGAGGTCTACTGCCCTATGTGGGCAGTCCCATGCCCAGGGATCGAACTCATGCTGCAGTGGCCGCAGACAGCTTCATAGGTTGCGTCTCAACCCCTTGTGCCACCAGGGAGGCCCAAAGCTCTATATATAATAACAAGACCTAGAAATCTATCTGTAGAATTAAGGTTACTGGAAAGGGGTGGTGGGCCGCATGGAGAGTGTACAGTGGAAGATGGTGGAGGACTATGGGTGCCTTGGGGGTGGGGGTGGTGCAGTGACATTTATCTGAAGTGATCCTATAGCTCTGAATCATATACAGTTGTAAATCACATACATTCGTAAACCAAAGTTGCCTCAGTTGAAAAAGAAACAACTGAAGTCTGGATTTTGAGATAAAAACAGAGAAAATGTATAGACTTAAGATGTATATAGGCTTGCGTCTCTAATCCAACAACAAACAACTAAATTCATTAAATTCCTGTATGCAGTGGCTACACCACTTCAACTCATCATTTCTATAGACTATAAATAACCAAAAAGAGAATGCCAAGCTAACTTTGATTTTTCCAATTTGATAGTATTCTTAAAATCTAGCAATGCTTGATGGAAAGGAAAAATAAATTCTTTACTTTTGGTAAACAAAGATTTGACAATTATTCCATTTTTGGCAAAATTTCTAGTGTGAATATACTATAAGAAGAGGAAAAAAAGAAAAATGAAGGAAATTTTAAAATATCTCTTAGGAGAATATATTTTCAAATATTTCCAGAAATAGGTCTACTATTGTTTTCTAAAGTTGGCTTTAACCTGTGTCCTTTCTATTAGTAAAATGAGAAATGGCTCCATAACCAGTATAATACATAATTTCCATACGAATAACTTCTAAGGAAACTCAATATTTCAAATCATAGTTGTATCTGGAGAATAACATTTTATTAGTTCTCCAATATCACAATATTACTTAGTGGAGTCTTCATGTCTATTTTACTGTACCTGGAATTCTGAGGTTCTGAAACATCTGATTCTGTACACGTTTTCTTTACCTGTAAGAAAAGAGTACCAGTTATTTTCATGAAAATACAACTTCCTCACTCAGGTTCACATACTTGTTAAACTTAACTCACCAAGACCTCTATAAAATGCCCCTCACATTTTACGGCGGCAGCGTGCAGTACCAAATAGCTATTTCATTATTATCCCATGAACAGCTGCCAAAGGCACTTCCCTAAACTCCATTAGTATGTAAAATGTTCAGCTAAAATAGCTTGGGACTAGCTTAACTCGGAACAAAGAAACCAAAGAACCAGGTTTCCCACATAGGAACTAGAAAGCCATACTGTTCTCAATTCACTACAAAATGTTTTTCCAATTGATACCGCTTCTGTCTCCTACCAAAGTGCACAATAATAAACACCAGATTCTGGGGCAAAGCACAGTGTTAGCTAAAACATTCGTATATTAATTTTCATTTTTTTCAATCCAGTCACTGTATGTTTTATATATTTCTCAGCATATCAATTAAGTCTCCTCCTTGCTCTCAGACTTCTCACATACATTGCAGTATATTTTGCAGACTATATTTCAACTTTGTGGTTTTTAACCCGCAAAAGGTAAAGAATGAAAATAACTTTTACTTCTAGTACATGCAAGCCATTTCTAGACAAAGGCATACAATATGTTCTCTAAAATAAAACAAATAATGGCCTTTTGCAATATAATTTCAAGTACACATACTTATGACTGATTATTTAGGCTTTGAAGGTATATTATATGCAAAGTAGAATAGACTCAATTTCAAAAATCCTTTGGTTAATATAAAACATGAATAATATATGTTTACAAATCCACTATCATACACTCTGGGTGTTTACATTGTCAGGGCCTATGCAACCTATAGAATCCAATTTCTAATATGTAATCTGGAAGTGAAAAATATTCCTACTGAGTATGCATCATGGGCACAACTATCTGGATATGAATTGAAATAGGATGACATCACTTTGAGGGTAAGTTTTAAATTTTGTATGTATAGCATTGTCTTTCCAGCTTACAAAATAATCACTTCCTCTCCTAACTCAGAAGAATGCTTTAAATAAGAAAGATAAAAAACCCTATATTTTCAAAAACATTTATCTTTGCTTTCAATTCCAAGTCTAGAAATGTTCATAATCTGAGAAATCAATTATCTGCCTGATTAACTGTACTCTCTTTTGTATCCTGTGTATACATTTATACAATATGAGAATGAAATGATTAACAAAGAGTTTGTCATGCCTGTTCTATTATGAAACTCGTCTTCCCTCTCAAGATGGAACTCAGCACTCTGAGATGCAGGGGCAAGACACTATTTTCAAGAATAAAGAAAAAATAAAAAAGGAAAAGAAAAAAAAATACTTTCCTTAAAATGTAAACACAAATCTCATTACAAAACCCACAAACATCTTAATTTCAGTAAAATTTTTCTATGAAAAATAAGAAGTAAAAGGAAAGAATATCAAAATAAAACTCTTCCACTTATTTGTTCCTATGATTTGTCACAAAAAACTATATGAACTTTCCAATGGATGTGTAGAAATTGCCCCCTCCAAAAGTGAATACCATTTTTTTCAAGACTGTGATGAAATGACACGAGGACTAAATGAAGAAACTCTGGACCACTGTGTGCAAACTAAATATATAACCCAAAGTAAAAGTCAGAAACAGAAAAACTTCCTGTGGTCTAAAAAATAATTTTTCTTTTAATAGTCATATCTTTACAAAACATCTTTCTCTAATTTACCAGAAAGTCCTGCTTATTTCAACTTACACTCAAAATCATAATTGTAATGACAGAGAACACATCTATTGATCACTTACTCTTTAGTACCCATAGTCCCAGACTCCTAGTTAATGTTTAATGAGCAAGTGATGAAAGAATGCAGTAGATAATCCTTCAGATATTGTAACAGTTATGCATTCTTCCAAGTGATTATTTTTAGGGGCTTCATTATTTGTTCATGGTCAAATGAGGGAAGAATAATATTTACGATACCATAACTATTACAGGTGAAGTCTGCACAGTGTTATAGGTGGTCAGAGGACAAACTTCCCCAGTTCAGGAAAGATGGAGACAACAACTAAGGAAGTGACGTCTTGTAATTTAGTGTAAAGGAAATAAGGCCCCAATGACTAAATTTGGAGTAAAGCAGGTATTTCAACGTCTTAGATTATGCCAGAGGAAACCTAGTATAAAGTCCTTATAATTGGTAAGGAATTTGGAATTTAATTTTTGACCAGTGAAGACCATTGAAGGATTTTAAGGAACACAGTAGACAGAAATGACATAGGAGAAATAGTGAGGAAGGGGGACAAGTAAAGACCCGAAACACAGATAAAGGCCTCATGCAACAGGAAAGAAAGAACAGCAGAGATGGCATTGGCCTTGTGCAGCACTAAATATCTTGCATTGAGTAAATGTCCCTTGCTATGGTCTGAATATTTGTATACATCCAACTCCTAGATTTCACCCAACAGCCAAAGATTAGGTAATGGAATCTTTGTGAGGTGCTTTGGCTACAAGGGTAGAGGTGTTTGTGAATGTAATCAATGCATTTTAAAAGAGACCTGCCAGAGCTCCCTAGCCTTTTCTTCCATTTGTGGACACAGCAAGAAGGATCTGGCTTCCAGGAAGCAGGCTCTTATCCAACAAGATCATGCTGGTGCCTTGATCTTGGACTGTCTTACCTCCAGAACAGTAGAAAACAAATTTCTGTTGTTTATGAGTTACCACATCTATTATATTTTGATATAGCAGCTGGAATAAACTAAAACCTTCTCCAAACACAAATTATTAAATGAATAATTCAAATTATTGGTAAAAGATGATGAAGATCTGAATTAAGACAGAAGTTGTTAGGAGAGAGCTGAGCAGATGTTTTTGACTGGCATTTCAGAGCAGAAGTGACACAGTATTGTAACTGACTAAAGCAAAGCATAAGATCTGTCCTTAAAAAGAACTTTCAGAAGTACTGAAGACCAAGAAAAAGTCATTTTATGACTTCTTTAAAATGCTTCAAAATCCCACCTTACTTCTGAATTGATGGAGATAAATGAATTATTAAGAAATGTAAATATATGTAGTGTCTAGGTCTTGGAATTAGAAGCCAAATGGAGACTTTCACCTAAACTTGAATACTCCCACCCATTTGAGAGTTCAACAACACTTCATTATATGATGACTGCTGAAACGTATACACAATTGAAGGAATAATATTCCTACAAAATATTAGAACCTTCTGTTTTCAATGATTACCAATTTAGTTTTGAATTTGTTTTGAATATAGTTGAAACATGCAGACCAAGAAATGAGCCAGAATTTCATGCCCATATTTTAAATTAGAATCCTAGTTTTCATAAGAACACAAGGAGGTAGGCAAAAAATGCCAAGAGGGAAAAGATGAATAGTGTTAAATGCATTTAACTGGCTGCACTAATGTGAATTTTAACCCTCCTTAATGTTGTAAAAGTACATGCAAAATTAAAACATGAAAAAAAATTAAAAGCTTAACTATTGTAAGAAAAATAATTATGTACACATAATTATAAAAAACCTAACCTTTGAATGAATAAATGAAGAATAGCTAAAATTTTTGAGTGTTTATTATATGCCAGGCACAATGCTTAAAGCACTTTTTCCCTAATTCGTACTAACATCCCAAAAGATTAAACTGCAAATTGTGTACTATATTTTAAATCCAGGCCTGTGAGGGCATTTTAATCACAGGTTAAAAGTCTAAAATTCATAAACATACAAATTAAAATGTCTCAAACGAAGATCAAAAATACTCTAAATATTTAAAATGTTCAATTAGGTCATCATATGATAACTGTTGCCATTTATTAGGCAATTACTGTTTTCTACTCACTGTGCTCACTCTGTGTGTGTGTGTGTGTGTATGTGTGTAGTTTCACTTAATCTATAAGATATATATGAGGGTTGAAATTTCTTTTTACAAATGAGGAAACTAAGGCTCAAAGACTTGTCTAATGTTCCATAACTAGTGACAGTAGGCTCGGATTAGTGCTGAATGCCACACACTAGGCCTTTCCTTCTCTCCTATGCTGGATGAGCCCATTGTTTTTATTAGGTTGTTTTGAAACTAAGAGTTGAAAGTAATGATCCATGGAAAAGTTTTTGAAAAAGCTACTAGTTGCTTTTTATAATGCATCAACTATTGAACAAATCAAACAAATTGGACTACTTAAGTCACAAGTTTTACCAAGCACTAATAATATATAAACTTGATAGAAGCAAAATGAAAAGGAGTTTTGAGAGAATTATCTAAATACCTCAGCATCCACTGCCAAAATCAACACCCCAACAACTGGAAAAACTCAATGTGAAAAACAGATTCTGTTTTTTGTTGGTGTTTTATGTCTGATATGTCAGCATCTGCTCCTTCACCAATGCTTTGCTGAGTATCCCTGGGCATGGAGGTGAACTATATCTTTGTTGGTCCAACAAGGTTGCCACTATCCACACAACACTATTTAGAGCTTAGAATGTGGTTACTCTAATCTGTGATGTGCTGTAAGAATATAAGAGTACAAGTACCTCGGTCCATGGGATTTGAAAGACCTCATTTGACAAAATGTAAACTATCTCAATTTTATATACTGAGAAATGAAATAAAATTTTAGATAAATGTGTTAACTAAAATAAGCCTTTTTTAAAAAAAAATTTAAAGCAGCTACTCGATTTAAAATATGTATGTGACTTGTTTGATATTTCTGTCAAACAGCACTGACCAAAACCAGCAAAATCCTGCCCACATGGATCATATTTTCTAGCAGAGGAGACACACAATAAATGAGCACACAGGTAAATGAAGAATAAACTATTAGCAGTGGAAAAGTTCAAGAATAAAATAAAGTAGAATAAATGGGCAGAGAAGATTGGCCAATAATATACTACAGAGACAATTATTAAAAAAAACTGTTGATCTTATTTCATGATATTTATTCTTCAAGTCTTGTAGGCTGTACAAACATGAGTAATATAAAC